ATATTTTCACCCCTTTTCCATTCCTTATAAATCAGAAGATTAATTACCCAGAAAAGAATCTTCAGCAATCAAAATTCAAATGTGTTTAGTACATAATTTATACAGGAAAACACAGATGTCAATGTTTGAAAGATTGCCAGATAAACATTTCTGCATTTACATTTTTAGGCGTCTGTCTGCTCCACAGAATGGTTTCATGAAGACGATGGGAGGTCCCAGCTCAGAAGAGGCAAACTGGGAAGAAAGCTTTTCAATAGTAGTGATGCAGCTGCCACACCAGTCTGTCTGGAAGGACAGAGCTAGAGGGTCCAGCCCAGCATCAGCACTGCAGGTGAATCACAACGCTGCCTCAACCTCCCTGCTTAGGGGACTTACCACTTTTTGACAGCTCCCAGCTAGACTGCATAGACAGGAGACGGAATGGGAGGTAATGTCCTGATACAGCGGTTTGAGATTACTGGGAGAGCCAGTCAAACAGATGGAGCAGTGACATTGTGGTGAAACTGGACAGGGTGACCCTGCTGCCATGTGGCTGCAGAAGAGAAGTGCTACCCCTGAACCAGCAGTGTCCCCCAAGGAATCCCAGGGGTGGGTCAGTCCTGGGGGAGTTTGTCAAGCATATGGAGGCAGGCAGGAGAACATTCCAAGCAGGGAGGATTGCATGTGTACCAGAGTCAAGAGGGAACATTCCAAATTTGTGAGTGTGTGGCCTGTGGCATGCAGCCAACACTGCCCAGTGAGGAGCCTACAGTCGATGGTGGCCAGGTCCCCCAGGTTCCTGTGCCTGGCCAAGAAACGGGGCTTTGTGCTGGACTGAAAACTCAACTGATTCGATCAGCACATCACTTTGGTGAAGACTATGGAAGTACACAGGAGGATTTTTGTGGGGAGTGAGCAAGAGAGAAAGTTAAGTGACCTCCACATTATTACATGCAAGCAACTATATGAATACCAACCTGAGCAGGCTCTCTTTTTTCCTTTTATTTTATTTTTGGTGAAAATATGCTCAGCAAAACTTGCTCTTATTCCACAGTTACATTGATTACATTCGTCACACTGTATCAACATTCCCATTATTTCTGTTTTCATTGTTTCCCTTGCATTTATTTAATCTCCCTGCCCCCTAGCCTTCTCCTTTATGCTTTAAAATAGCTGTTAATTCCAAGAATATTCTTTGAAGAAATGGAAAAAGCAATCACAACTTTATATGGTAGGGAAAGAGGCCTCAGATAAACAAAGTGCTGCTTAAAAAGGAGAAAAAAAAAAGGTTGGAGGTTACATGGCCACAGTAGTCAAAACAGTCTAATATTGATACAATGAGAAATACATGGATCAATGGACCAGAACTAAAAACCCAGAAGTTAATGCATCCACATATAGTCAACTGATCTTTAACAAAGTGTCAAAAGACATTAAATGGAGAAGAGATAGTCTTTCAACAAATCTTGCTGGCAAAATTGGGAATCAATTTGCAAAAGAATGTAACAAGATCCACATCTCACACATTAAACAAAAACTAACTCAACATGGATTAAAGCCCTAAAGGTAAATCCCAGAATTATAAAAATCATCCATGAAAAAATAGTAACAAACGTAAGAGCTCTAGCACAGGGCATACCCAGGCTAGCAAACATTGCAAAAAAAAAAAAAAAAACCACAAACAACAGAAGACAAAATAGATGAATCAAACCACCTAAAAATTTGACCCTTATGTGCGTCAAAAGAGTAAAAAGAGAACCCACAGACAGGGGGAACAATTTTGGCAACAGCATATCAGACAAGGGGCTAATCTTTAAAATTTATAGGAAACTATAACACCTCAACAAGAAGACAAATAATCCTATTACATAATGGGCACAGGACATGAATAGACATTTTACCAAGAAAGACATTCAGCCAGCCACCAAACACATGAAGAAATGTTCACGATCATTAACCATTTATTGTTGTTGTTGCTAAATGCCATGTAGCCTGTTATGACCCATAGTGACCTTGTATGGGGCTTCAAAGAAGTGGCTAGTAAGCTTGAACCACTGATCTTGCCATTCAAACTGACTTTGCCGTCCAGCACATTAAACCACAATGCCACACTAGATGCAAATCAAAATAATGTGATGTCATCTCATACCAGTATTAGCAGAGAAATTTAAAAAAGAAAACAAATGCTGGTGAGGGTGTGGACAGACTGGGACCTTCCTACATTGTTGGTGGTACTGGAAAATGGTTCATACACTCTGGAAAATGGTACAGCACTTCCTCAGAAATTTGGAAATAGAAACATCTTATGACCTAGCAATTCCTCTACTTTGTATGTATCCACAAGAAAAATGATCCAGAACACAAGTAGATATATGTGCATCAATGTTCATTACAGCACTATTCACAATAGTAAAAAAACAGAGACAGCCTAAGTGCCCATCAACGGAAGAATGGATAAAGAAACTTTTGTACATACACACAATGAAATATTATGCTACCTTGAAGAATAACAATGACTCTACAAAACACCTTATAACATGAAGTAGGATGAACCTAGAGAACAGTATGCTGAGTGAAATTAATCAGTCACAAAATGACAAATATTGTATAAGACCATTATTGTAAAAGTTTAAGAAAAGATTTCCAATTTAAAAAAAAACAAAAATCTACTATGGTTACCAGGGATAGGAGAGTGGGGTCAGATATTCATAGATTAGGAGGAAGAGACATGATATCTCAGGTGACAAGAAGGACAATACACAAGGAGGGGGAGAGCAATTCACAAGGAAGAGGAGGGGAGAAGATGAACAAGGAAGACAGGGGACGATTTAGGGAGGTATGCGTGTGCTAAATGAGACAGAGGTAAATAAATAGTGATAGACACACAACCTTGGAACAACAGGGCTCTGTGATATAGGGATCCAGACATAGTAGGCATGGGTAAAGGAAGGGAAATAATGTTAAGGTGCTTGACTTTCTTGTGGATGTTGGTTTTCCCCTACCTTCTATTGTAAAATAGTTAAGTGTGATAGAAAGGAATGCTGGAAATTCTGATTACAGAACATTTGTAAACCCATCTTCACCCGATAACTGATTGGATTAGCTAAAAAGAATTAAAATTTGTCCAGAAAAATAGACCTTTGGGGAGTATGGAGCATTAGGTAGAATCCCAATGTTATCCAGCATGAATCTTAGACTCTCTTCAGATTTTTTAATCCTGTTTTCTGTTTGCTCTTCCATCTGAACAGTATTGAGAGATTTGTCTTCCAGCTCACTAGTTCTAGCTTCCATCTCTTCCATTCTGCTCCTTTGCCCTTTCAGTGTATCATCCATTTCTGATATTTTATTATTAATCATCTGGACTTCTTTTTGCAGGTTTTGGATTGTTTCCAATGTCATATATATCTTGTTTGATTGCTCCTGTAGCACTTGCCTGACTTCTTCCTTATTTTCCTCCACCTCTTTTCGGAGCATTTAAAATTATTTCCATATCATTCTTCTGAATTCCTTCTTAGGCAGATCCAGAGCCTGCTCTTCTACTGGAAAGTCTGTGTCTGCTTCCAACTCATTTGTCTCAGTCATTTTTTCTGGTTTTGGGACTTGTGTTGAGATCTTTAATTGTGTTTTCTTGGACATTTTCAATAGTTATGTGAGTTTTTAAATGCTTAAGTGGATGTATAATGCTTTGTTGTTAAGCTTACTGAGTGTCTCCTGGTGAATATGATCTAGAGATAGGCTTCCCTTTTCACGTGTAATGCCTAGCAGCTGGTTTTGGCTCTTGTCCAGATGGTGGGGTATTACAGGGTATGCTTGTAGCTTGGCTATATGAGCACAGTTGCTGTCTCTTCTTAGGTAAGGTAGGGGGAGGAAGCTCCAGCTCCTTACTTCTACACAGCCAGGCTGCTGCAGCACTGCCCACTGGAGAGATGGCCAGGCCAGACCTCCCAGTTCTTGTCAAGATCTCTTCTCTAGATGGAATCTTGAGCTCCACCTAGAACCTTCTGAGGTGGGACATTCCCAAGGTCTGTGATTCAAACTCATCAGTCGACCCTCAGAAACCCCATACAGGATGGCTATGACTCAGAACCCACTCGACAGCATTTAACAACAACAATGTGATGTCTGGAACCGCAGTTGCCTTGACAGGTACAGACCAAATAATTTCACAATCCTTATAAAGTCTACAGGCTGGATGTTCCCCAGCCCTGTGTTATACCAACTCGACGGCACCTAACATCCAACCTCACCTTGGGAGTATTTCTCCCTTCTCCTGCCCCATCTCAACAACTACTAATGAACATCAGTATATTCACCCCAGCAAGATCTTGAGCTTGGTGCCAAACTTCTGAAAAGGTGCAGCAGTCCATTGGCTGGCTTGACACATGGGTTTGCAAATAAACACCTGAGAATAGGTTAGACCCTGGGACCTTGTCTGCAGCTGCTACTGCCATGTGGAGCTGGTCAGTCCCTGTGCAGGATATCCCCTGACATTGTCTCAACAGCTGCCCCACAGGGACTCCAGGCACACCTGACACCATCATCCCACGGGACACAGGAGTGGCCCAGCAGAGAAAAAGAAGCATTATGCTGCGCACAAATGTAGTGGGGGAAGGAAGGGTAAGCAGGAAGGAAATAGCTGTCCTCATGGCCACCTGGATCTCTGTCCAAACCACTCGGGATAAGTTAAGAACATACATACCCTCATCATCCTCAATGCAGTCACCCACTGTGTTCTGAGCACCATCTGAGGTTTCACTGATATCTTTCCAGAACTCGGGTCTCTCAAAGACAAATCAAGTCCCCATTTTCCAGTACCATTCAGAGCCTCAGTAGCATCATAGGGGGCTTTAGTAGCATCTCCTGCAGCCTTAATGCATTAGAGTTGTGTAGTCAACAGAAAGAAGCTCAGCCTATAGAATTAGACACTCCCAGAACCAGAATTCAAGTCCAGCATTCGTCATATCAGTGTAAGTTGAAGAAGACTAGTCATTGTTAATCTCCCCACCTACCAGACAACCTACCTCGCTTGGTCTTGGGGGGTCTGAGGTCCCCCATCTGAGTCAGGGCCTCCTGGGCCTCAAACTCTCTCCAGCGCCTCAGCTGCTCCTCTCGAATTTTGTAGAAGAGAATGTGCTTCTGCACATCACTGAGCTCAGCAAGCAACTCGGGGTCAATGTAGGCATCACGGAGAATCTGCTGCAGCATGGCGCCTCTTCACTCTGGGGTCACGTTCAATGTCCCCTGTCTCCAAGCATAGTCTCTCAACTTTAGCTACCTGCCAGCCACAGATTCATCTCCTCTACCGAGGACAATGACAAAGGCCAGGTGGCAGGCACCAGGCAGGCAGATGGGACCCTGTGAGGGTAGCAGGCATCAGTAGGAACCTAGCCCATCTGGCGGGTCATCAGTATCTGCGTCCTAGCCCAACTTGGCACTCTAAGAGGGTGGGGTGTGCCGGAGCCTCCAGGCCAGCAAGACAATGCTCTAGCCTGCCTTGCCTGGGTCTGCAGGTGTCAAATGATCTGTCAGTGGAAGGTAACGATGACACCAGCAGTATCAATGACACTACCCTGGCCAGTGGGGAAGTGATCTCTCCTCTACAGATAAGAGGAGGCGGAGGCTTAGGCTACGAATTCTGCCTTTTGAACAAACTTTAAGCAGGAAACAGCAACAGGCCAGCTGCTCTGGGCTCCCGGGACCCTGGTTCCACCTGCCCCCACTGTCAAACTTGCTTGTTTCCAAGAAGGCTGGCATTCTGCCTGGGGATGTCAGGGTGCCGGAGGGAAGTAGAGAGGGGGAGACACTTCGTCCCACCTGCTGCAGCCAAGAAAGAAAATAAAACAGAAATCAGGTGGGAACAACTACAGGTGCCTCTATCATGTAATGATGGAGACAGACTCCTTTCTGTATAATGAGGTTCTAAAGTTATGTGTGTGCTGACAGATGAACCCTCCCATGGAAAGGTCCACTTTACTTGTTGCTGCTGATTTAGCTATGGTTGCAAGTGTCTGGAGTTCACCAGAAGAGTAAAACTGCCTCTTTGGGGCACCCTGCGTCAGATGTAGCTTCTGCTTGGAGTGGACTCCCCTCCATTTGCTGGATGAGGATGGGTAGGCTGCATTGCTGTTGCCTGCTACAAACAAACACTCTCCCTGAATGTATGCCCAAGGGTCACTCACAACCTTTTCCTTTATTCGAACAAGAAAATTGGGGTTCAGAGAAGGTAAGTGGCTACTCAATTGCTAAGTCACTATACCATCTAATCTTCAAATTTGAATACTATTGGCAACTATGAATCTGTAGATGACTTGAAAGAAAAACTCAATCAGGGCATTAAAGCAAGTAAACAGGAGTTGACACTGTGCTTGGTGACCTCCATGGCCCCTTTCCCTCTCAGTGATGATTGAAGGCGAGTTAGGTACCCAAGAGGACTGGAATGGGAGGGTGACTGAGCACCAGGCTTTCCCCTGCGAGGAAAACACACACATATAGAAAGGAGGAATGGAGGGTTCAGAAAGAGGTGTGGAGAGCCAGGATGCCCTCCCCAAGGTCCTGCTAGCTTTCCTAGTGCCCCATCCACAACTGTGGCCTGGATCTTTGAGGGCTAAGCACCATGCTTCTGCCCAACAGAGCCATGGTCCTGGACTTCCAGCCTCCTATCCTTCTTTAGTTCCCTACATCCATGCTTGTAACTCCTCTCATGCAAGAGTCCCAACTTGGCTCCCCTTGGGTGTCTTGTCCCCAGCCTCTTCCTGAGTCCTAATGCCCTAAACCTCTCACACCCTAACTGTGGCTGTGTGGGAGTCACAGAGTCCGACATAGACATGGGGAGAAAGGAATCTTGCTTCCTGGAGGGAGCATCCTTCTTTCGGGGAGCCCAGACACCTACAAGAAGTTTGGTGTGGAGAGAATACTGTGCAGAGAAGCAGGAATATACACCATTTGGTGAGAGGCTGGGTGTAGAGTGAGTTCCAGTCTCCTGGCTTGGTGGTGATGGTGCTACCCCTCAGTGGGGACACTGGAGGAGAATGGTGAGGGTCAAGACAGAAGTGACAAACCAGAGGGATGCAATGGCCCACCTTAATTCTCCCCCTCAGCTGCTTCTGGCCAGTTTGTAGCACAAGAGGATCTCATGGGAGAGAGCTGCTCCCTGGGAAGAGGACAAGACACGCAGAGTCCCAGAAACAATAGCAAAGTCATAGCGCAGGCTGGTCAGGTTTCTAGAAAGACACACTCAGGCAGGCGGAGACACGGGACTCACACAAAGCAGTTTCTATCATCTCCCCACCCCACCCCACTCCTACCTCCACCTCACACCTGCCATCTGCCCTCTTGGCTGCAGGCCAGTCTCGGGCGTTCTTGGGGGCCGACCTGGGAAGGAGACTGAGGGAAGGAGACTGAGACCAGACATAAGGTGACCTGGATAGGCAACAAGGGAGAGTCTGATGTGGGAGAGGACCTTACCCTGGTGCCTTCAACTCCAAGGCTACAGAGGCAGGGCCTGGAGCCTGGAACCTAGAGGGATCTTCCAAACATGGTTCTCTACCACCTGTCAACTGGCTTTGTTTTGTTCTCCCTTCTCATTGGCCTGCAGAGGGTGTTGAGTTTTGCATATTAACGCAATTCCTTTCAGAGCCAGCTGATGCAAACAGGTTTTCCACCACATGTACTGTAGTGCAAGTGACAGGAAACTAACTGAATGTCCCTTAGTGGAGTAGGGGACTGTCCAGTACCCTGTCATAAAAAATGGGGTCAATTGGTTCAGAGAGGGAAACAGTTGACAGATAAAATGAAAGGGCAACATACAGACAATAGTGTATACAGTCAAATTGGTTTTTAAATTCTGTATGCTTGATTGCTTTTGTATGGACAAAGGAAAACACATAAATACCTAAATGTTTAAGATGGTTTCTGATATTTCTTCTCAGAAGGGGGTGGGGACTACTTTAGGAAATTCTGTTTTGCATAATGAATAATAAATACTTACATAACTATAATTTGTAAAACTGAAATCAAACACGTTCAAAATTCCTAAAATGTGATCCCCCACCAAAAAATTTCAGCCTCCCGAGATCAGTGCAGGTAGAACAGAACTACAAGGGTGAGTCAAAAATGATCCACACTCTGGGTATATTACAATGCCTGTCCATGTCCACAGCTGATGACAACACTGAGCATGTACATAAAATGATTCTGTCGAAAAGATGAGTGACAGTGGATTATGTGGCAAATCATTTGCAAATCACCCATGCTTCTGCCTATGAAATAATCCACAACAGACTTGGATTTCAAAAAGTTTGTGTGAGGTGAGTACTGAAATGACACACGGAAAAGCATAAACAGAAGCATTTGGATATCTGCAAACAAAATTTGGACCAATACTCAAAAGAAGGTAAGTTTCTTTTGAAAAAAAAAACTGTTACTGGTGATAAGACATGGATTCATCATGATCAGCCTGAGACTAAACAGCAGTATATGGAATCATCCTCATTTGCCAACCAAGAAAATGTTCAAAAGTCAGGTAACTGTCTGCTGGAAAACTGATGCTTATGTTTTCTGGGACTCTCCAGGGCCAATATTGGAACACTATCAGGTAAAAGTTCAACAATTAACAATGCTCATTACAGATGCTCACTGCAGACCTGAAGCCTAAACTTCAGATTAGATGCAGAGGACTGCTATCCAAGGACCTTGTGGTCTTGCATGGCAATGCACATCTACACACCTCTGACCACACTGTTGATACTCCAAAAACTTCTTTTTGAGGTGTTAATCCTGATCCTGCTCTATCAGACTTTCACTTGTTTTGTCCCATGAAAGCAGCCCTTCAAGGACAATGATTCACCTCTGATGAAGAAATGAAGACAGCAGTGTACTCATGGCTCACAGATCAGCCTAAAACATTTTTTTTTAACAAAGGAATACAAAAGCTTGTTAACAGATGGACAAAGTGTGTTGAAAAACAAGGAGAATATGTTGAAAAAATGATGCATTTGTCTTTTCTGAAAGTTGACTAAAATAAATTCTACAGCCAGAGTGTGGATCATTTTTGACTCACTCTTGTATACGTACTTCCAGGAGCAATAGTGCCCACCCCATGCAAGGAACCAACAGCAAAACCAAACTACCAGGCAAGGAAGGACAAACCTGCTGTGTTCCTGGTGGTTTCTCAGCAGTAGAAGTTTCTGAGTAACCTTATAGGATGGGAAGCAGGAGTCAGCGAGAGTGGCCAGCAGACTTGGGGTAAAGTCTAGGAAAGGTGAAAAGGACCAGAGGTGGAGATTGGAAGACATTCCTCATTCTAGAGCCTCTTATTCAGTAGTCCTTCTTTGACCTTGATTTTCCTCTGTTGTTGTTGTTGCTATTGTTAGGTGCCATTGAGTCAGTTCCGATTCATAGAGACCCTACGCACAATAGAAAAAACACTGCCTGGTCCTGCACCATTCTCACAATTGTTTTTATGTTTGAGCCCATTGCTGTTGCCATCTCGTTGGGGGTCTTCCTCTTTTTTTCTGACTATCCTCTTTAGTTAAGGTTTTATGTCAACTCGACTAGGCCAGCATCCCAAGTGGTTTGGAGGATGAGATGTGCTTATCTCCATTGTGAAACCTAATTCAGGCATAGTTAACTCTATGAAGATTGGCTACGGGCCGCCAATCAATGGAAAAGCTATTTCCTTGGAAGTATGGCCTGCTTCCAATATAATGGACACGCAGGAAAAGCTGGCTCTTTTTACTGCTGGGAATGTGAGATTCCTGTCTGCCTGCCAAGCCCATCTACTGATCTTGGCTCAGCTGACCTATACTTTGGACTCTACAATTGTGAGCCATTTTCTTGTTATATATACATATATAGGTTTCACTGGTTTTGCTTCTCTATAAAACCCAGCCTAAGACATATGGTACTGAGAGTGTTGTTTTAGTGAAACAAAATCACAAGGATGCGTTTTCTAAATTGGTTCTCAAGTCTGACTAATTTTAACTCTACCTCCACTGGTAAAGAATGTTATAGGGTAGAGGCATGGGAATTGGCCTTGGGCTGATTTTGAGTTTGGTTCTCATTCCCCCTTGTGGAGTCAGAGGAAGTCAGACATGGTCCCCACATGGATTTTAAAGTTGGTGTCAGGAATGGGATTTGTTGCAATGACTACAGACTCATGAGGTATTGTAAGAGAAACAATGAAGTGGAATAGGAGGAAAGTGAGA